ACGTACATCAAAGATCAGGGATCCTACCATGGTAAAACTATCTATGAATGGAATATAGATGGCGAATCAGAATATGGTATTTACAAGAAACTACATCAAATGATGATGTATGCCACCGTTTGCCGCCAATACAGTAATAACGACCATGCCATTGTTAAATTCATTATTAATAGATTTACCGATCAGCTAAAAGGATGGTGGGATAACATTCTCACTCCTCTCCAGCACAATGAAATTCTTACTTCTGTTAAAGTTGAACTTGATCCAACCACTCAACAGCCTGTTCAACAAGAAGATGCCGTCTACACTCTTATCCAGACTATTATTCTTCATTTTGTTGGTACCAGTACTAGTTCCTCCGATCGTAGTCGTGAACTTTTGCAGAATTTACGATGCCCTTCTTTGGCCCATTTCAAATGGTACAAAGATGTTTTCCTCATCAAGGTTACTCAACACCCTGATGCTAACAGTAGCCATTGGAAGGCTAAATTTATTGATGGCCTTCCTATCCTTTTTGCCGAACGCGTTAGGAAAAAACTTTGGGACTGCCATGACCGGATGTCTATTCCTTTTGAACAGTATACATATGGGCAACTCTGTTCCATTGTTACCGACGAAGGTCTATCTTTATGTAATGACCTTAAACTTCATTATCAGATGAAGCAACAGCATTTAACAGGAAGAAAAGAATTAGGCGAATTCTGCGAACAGTTTGCCTATGAACCAGGTATTAAATATCCTACTAAAACTAGAAAGATTTCCCATAAGCGACAGTCCAAACCCATCCGAAGAAAGTCCCATAAGACATATCAACAGAAACCTAATAAGAAGTTTTATTCCAACAAAGCTTCATATACAGGGAAAAGAAAAGAAAAATCCAAATCCAAATCAGAAATCAAATGTTATAAGTGTGGCCAAATTGGTCATTATGCGAACCGATGCAAATCTAAAGTCAAGTCCAAGATTAATGAGTTAAATCTTGATCTAGATATTAAAAGACAACTTCTTCAAACAATAGAGGAAGAATCAACAGAAGACGAGTCTCCTTCCGAAGATGAAATTAATGAATTATTTTCACCCTCCAGTAGTAGCGATGAACAAGATGACTCTGATTGTCCTTGTTCAACCAACCAGGATCAACTATCAGAAATCAATTATTGGAAATCAATAGTTGAAATGAATGGTTTACATTTAGGTGAGCCTAGCAGTATTAATGTTTTAACTGATGCACAAAAAGATATGATCGCAGTAGCAGATCAAATCCAGGATCCAGAAATAAAGATTAAATATCTAAAAATGTGTTATGAACACCAACAAACAGTTCAAGAACAACCTTTAATACCAGTACATTCTTACAATCTTCAAGATGTGTTTAAAAGAATCCAGACTCTAAATTCTACCTCTGTAGAACAACCCACAACAATCCAGGATTTAAAAATGGAAATAAATATTTTAAAAACAGAAGTCAAACATTTACAGACAGCCAGTGCAGCTACTATTAAAGATATTAAATATCTACATAGTCAGCTTAAACCAAAGAAATCAGAAACTGAAGAAGTAAAATCTGAAGAACAAACAGAATCTTCAACCCAGTATTTATTACTTGTTAATCAAGTCACTTTCCAGAAATGGTATATCAAAGTTTCATTTATGATACAACCAGACTTTTGGATTAAAGATGCTATCGCTTTAGTTGATAGTGGTGCAGATATGAACTGTATTCAGGAAGGCATAGTTCCTACCAGATATTTCCAAAAGACTACTCAAAGTCTAACCAGTGCTAGTGGAAATTCAAACCAAATCAGGTATAAGATCCCAGAAGCCTATATTTGTAACCAAGATTCTTGTCTACCTACATCTTTTGTATTAGTAAAAAATCTTGCACAAAACATCATTTTAGGTACTCCTTTTTTGTGCCTCCTTATGCCCATACAGAAAATTGACCAAACAGGTATTTATTCTCAAATACAGGGAAGATCAATTATTTTTAAATTTATAACAAAACCATACACAAAAGAATTAGATCAAATTCGTGATCTAGTAACCTTTAAAGAAAAACAGATAAATTTTTTTACAAAAAGAAGTTCAATTTTTGACAACAGAACAAAGGTTACAACAACCTTCTTTACAACAGAAAATTAAAATAATTGAAAATGAATTTAAAACAGAAGTTTGTAATGATGTTCCAAATGCTTTTTGGGAACGAAAGAAACATACAGTAACATTACCTTATGAACCGACGTTTAATGAAAAACATATTCCCACTAGAGCTCGCCCTAGTCAAATGAAAAAGGAATATATGGAATTATGTAAAACAGAAATCCAAAATCTTCTTTCTAAGAAACTCATCCAACCTAGCCAATCTCCTTGGAGTTGTACCGCTTTTTATGTTAACAAAAATGCAAAAATTGAGCGAGGTGTTCCACGCCTTGTTATCAATTACAAACCGTTAAACGAAGTCTTGCAATGGATCAGATATCCGATTTCGAATACAAAAGATCTTCTAGATCGTTTACAGGATGCAATCATATTTTCTAAATTTGATTTAAAATCAGGTTATTGGCAAGTGTAAATTGCAGAACAGGATCGTTATAAAACAGCATTTACAGTACCTTTTGGGCATTATGAATGGAATGTGATGCCATTTGGACTTAAAAATGCTCCATCAGAATTTCAACATATCATGAATGATATTTTCACTCCTTTTGCAGAATTTGCTTTATCTTATATTGATGATGTTTTAATATTTTCCTCATCAATAGATCAGCATATTAAACATCTTAATATTTTTAAGAATGTTATTATCAAAAATGGATTAGTTATTTCTGCACCTAAGATGCAATTATTTCAAACAACAGTTAGATATTTAGGTCATAATATTTCCAATGGAAGTATTATTCCTATCAACAGAAGTATGGAGTTTGCTTCTAAATTTTCAGATGAAATTAAGGATAAAACCCAGTTACAAAGATTTTTAGGTAGTCTCAATTATGTTCGAGATTATTATCATCAGTTATCTGCAGATGCTAACATTTTGTATACCAGGCTTAGAAAGAATCCACCACCATGGTCTGAAGAACATACTTTAGCAGTTCAAAGAATTAAAGCTAAAGTTCAACAGTTACCTTGTTTACAGTTACCAAACCCTAATTGGAAAAAGATTGTTGAAATCCCACCAAATCCTTCATCGGATCCTCTCCTTGAGGAAGGTCCTTGAGTTCTTGCGGGCAACGGCTCAGATCAGCCGTTGGTCATCCAACAGATGATATTATATAAAAAAAAAAAATCAAATTACAGTGTTTTTTATACTTCCCGCCCAAACAAACAACAACACAGCATTCACTTTCAATCTCACACACCACTCTCACTCTCACGCAGCAGTCGCCTCCGTCGAACCCATCCTCATCCTCACCGGCGAACCCATCCTCACCGACGGCGAGCTCCATCCTCACCGACGGCAAACTCCACCGCTCCAGCCTCTATAGAGTACTCTTCTGCCGCCAAAGCTTTTGACTGAAGCTCTTTACAAATTACACTCGACAGTAAGGTAAGAAATCGAATGGAGTTTTCATTAATTGGTGTGTTTTACCTCTTTATGATTTCTTTAACTTTTCATATATACATTGTTTCCCAAGCTGATGATGTAAACTCCCTAAGAATCAAATTAGGGAAAACCTATTCTGTTTGAAGTGAATCTTTTCTCATAGACTTCCCTGTAAGATTCTTGGTCATATTATTATTATTTGTTTTTGTACCATCTCTAAGTTCTGTTTGATTGTATTTTTGTTTTCCTTTTTTTGTTGATTTTTCAAAACAAAACAATGAAAAGTTCAGAAACACCCACTTGTGAAAATTGTTTTTGTACATATGAAAACAAGTTTTTGGTGGGTGATTTTTAGAAAATTTCAAGAAAAAAACAGTTTCCAGAAACAAATTTCCAAACAAAATTATGTTCTTTTTAAAATATGAAAACAGAACACAAAGCAACATGCCTTTTTTTTTTTTAAAGTTACATTTCCCATTTCCAATCTCCCAAATGGGTCAGTGAATTGAACTTGAAAGGCATCATTGTAAAGCTTCTCCTGAGAAAAAGAAAAAAAGAAAAATAAAATTCAACTCAACTTGAGAAAATCTTATATCTTGATTTTCATATTAGATTTATTTGAACTTGAGAAGCTAAAGTTTTTCAAGTGATATCAAAAGCACAATTGTGATAAGAGTGATGTTTCGTGTAGACTAGGCCCCAAAGAGAAACTGTTGGATTGAGACAATTCAAATGTGTGTTTTTCCAAGTACTATGAATTCTATGTGCCTAAGCCAGGACACGACCAGTTATGAATAATTCAATTTCCTTAATTCGAGTAATTTTCCTTCTATGACATATGGTCCTATCTATAAACCAGATAAATGTTATCTAAAAACCAATTTCAATTCATTTTCATAGCATTATAACCTAAACAATCCTGCAATCTTATTAAGAAGCTCAACTATCATTAACTTAAGATTTTATTTATATGGGTTTTCAGTTGCATTTTGATATCGATATGGAACCTGAGAATGACTGTGATTGGAAGCCAAAATTGGGAATGATATTTGATTCTGAACAATGTGCGTATGAATTTTATAATACATATGGAGGAAGAATGGGGTTTAGCATAAGAAGAGATTATTGTAAGAAGGACAAGTTCACTAATCAACTTATTCATAGACTTTTGGTTTGCAACAAGGAGGGATTTCGAAAGGTTAACAAGCGAGACCCATTGTCAAAAAACTCTAGAGCTGAAACTAGGACTGGGTGTGAGGCTCGACTTTATATTAAATTACATGAGGGTACTGGAAAATATGTTGTGATTGATTTCAAAGAAAAACACAACCATGATCTTGTATAACCCAAGTGTGCCCACATGTTGCCGTCACAAAGAAAGATATCCGCTACCCAAGCAATTCAGTTAGATTTAGCGGCACAATCTGGTCTTCGTTTGGGCTAGTCTTTTGAACTCATGGGTAGGGAAGCTGGTGGAAGGCAATGTCTTGGTTTTACGAAATTAGATTCTAAAAATTATTTGAGAACCAAAAGACAACAAAGTTTAGCATATGGGGAAGTAGGCAATGTGTTGCAATACTTTAAAGAAAAATCTTTGCAGAATCCTTCATTCTTCTATGCTGTTCAATTAGATAATGAGGAGCAAATAACCAATATGTTTTGGGCCGATGCACAAATGATCATGGATTATGCCCAATTTGGTGATGTTGTCACATTTGATACGACTTACAAGTTAAACAAAGAACATAGACCCTTCGCATCTTTTGTGGGATTCAACCATCACAGGAAAACAGTTATATTTGGTGCAGCATTGTTGTATGATGAGACCGCCGAATCGTTTGTATGGTTGTTTGAAAACTTTCTAGAGGCTATGTCAAGGAAGGCACCGAAAACTTTGTTCACCGATCAAGATGCTGCAATGGCTAAAGCCATACCCATCGTTATGCCTGACACAAGTCACCGATTGTGTACTTGGCATTTGATGCAAAATGCATTAAAACATGTTAACTGTTTGTTCCAAGATAAGGGGGTGAAGGGTGTACTAAATAAATTTTTCTTTCACATTGAAGATACAAATCAATGGAAATTAGAGTGGGCGGAAATGCTTGATAAATATGATGCGCATGAAAACCATTGGTTGAAATTGACTTTTGCGGTGAAAGAAAAATGGGAATGGCCTTATGCTAGATCAACATGGGCTGCGGGAATGAGTACCACACAACTTAGTGAATCTTTTAATGCTTTTTTGAAAGATTACATTCGTTCGGATTTCAACTTAAATGAATTCTTCATGCATTTCGAAAGGGTACTTTACGAGAAGCGATACAAGGAGTTAAAAGCAGGATATGCTTTGTGCCAAAGGTGAAATCGAGTGAAAGCAACAATAATAACGTGTCTCACGCGAGAGGAGGAAAGGGTGGTGTGAACAACAGGAACACCTGTTGTTTTTAACCTGATGAAAGCAACAATCCTAATGCATCTCACGCAAGAGGAGGAAAGGGTGGTGTGAACAACAAGAACACCTGTTATTTTTAATCGGGGACAGAAACAATTCTAACGTGTCTCACGTGAGAGGAGAAAAGGGTGGTGTGAACAACATGAACACCTGTTGTTTTTAACCAGGTGAAAGTAACAATTCTAATGCGTCTCACGCGAGACGATGAAAGGGTGGGTGAGGCTAAAAAACCCCATGAATTAGCAAAAACGAGAAAACAAGGTTATCTCATCCCAAAAAGGCCTTGAAGGATGAAACCCACGGAGATGAACCGCCGAGGGGCCAGATTCTAACAAATCAAAAAAAAAAAACAAACATACATACAAATTCAAATGATGCTCAAAGTTTGCCAATTTTTGCAAATGGGCTTAATTTGAGTAAAAGAACGCATTACGAATCAAAATGAATAACGAAATGCTGGAACAATTCACAAATTAATAGAGCGAAATAATGGACCAAAATATGACTTAGGCAAAACAATTAATCAAATAATGAAACACATGCACCACACCACAGCCAAGGCTACTTGATGTGAAATGTGCCTATGCAAAATAAACAGTAGCAGAATTCACCAGGTCTGCTGGTATGCTCTGCTGGTTCATATGCTGGTTCATCTGGTATGCTGGTTCATATCTGGTGATGGTATGCACTAGTAAATCTGGTAAATGAATTCTGCTGGTATGCATTTGGTATGCTGGTTCATCTAGTAAATTCATAGCAGAAGCTGGTAACTGCATTCTGTTGGTATGCATGTACTAAATTCATAAACTAGAAGCTGGTAAATGAATTCTATGTTCTATTACTAAGTTAAATGAACATGAACCACAACCAACATACATGCAGTTTAAGCCTACAGGACAATAAACCATAACTTTTGTAAAAACCATCTCACAGATTGTCCTCTAAATTAAAACATTCGCAAGTTCATTAAATCCAACTCATTCCCAAGTTCATTAAATCCACTAGGACAATAAACCATTTAAAAACCATCTCAAATCATTCCCAAGTTCATTAAATCCACTAGGACAATAAACCATTTAAAAACCATCTCAAATCATTCCCAAGTTCATTAAATCCACTAGGACAATAAACCATTTAAAAACCATCTCAAATCATTCCCAAGTTCATTAAATCCACTAGGACAATGAACCATATAAAAACCATCTCAAATCATTCCCAAGTTCATTAAATCCACTAGGACAATAAACCATATAAAAACCATCTCAAATCATTCATAACTTCCCAAATTCCATTCATAAAAACATCATAAAGTACAAACATCATAAATCCATAATAACATTAGTCAAATTTTTCGGATACTAACATTACATCATAAAGTAGATTACATCCATAAATCCATAATAACTTTAAATCCATAAATCCATAATAACATTACATCATAAAGTACAAAAGTAAAGCAAATACAATCAAATACACCATCGCCTTCAAAATATTTTCCACCATTCGAAGCCTTCGACCATAGTCGCCATGTTCATTTTCCACGTCATACAGCCTCCTCCTCAGCTCGTTAAAGTCTTCTACTGTAACACCATCAGAAGCTCTAGTGTTGGAACGGATTGTGGACGTCACATCTTCATCATCTTCAGCCACGAACTTGAAGTAATTGCAATTGGGATTTTCAGTCTACAATGCAACCAACAATTAGTTAGTCTATTAAAACAAATTAAATTGTGACTACTGACATATTTAATATTTCCAATACAATACTTACATATTTTGATGGGAAACAAAGAACAAACGCCCTTTATTTCCATTCTCATTAGTTTTTACGATATGTATGGCAGCTGTTCTTCCACAATTGCACATTCTCGGTTTTAATCTTATGTTGCTGTTGTCATTAGAAGAAGAAGCCATTTCTAAATCTACATACACAATACAACACAAACAGTCAGCCCTCGAGAAACCAATTTAGTTTTGAAACCAACATTGTAGTGGGCTCATAAAAACCTATCCTATGTGTTATTCAGCATTGTAGTTCTACATACAAATTGATTAGGTCTCAAAGTGTTTAGTTGCACTGAATTCAGGAAAACAATGCTACTGCCCTTCTCATTATTTGTTGTATTTTCACTCAGAAGGCTTGCTCTTTTGCATGTGCTAGGAAATAATGATTTTAAAATCATGTGCCTATTTTTGATTGTAAAATCATAATTCTAATACTCTTATTTGAGATTGTTAGTTCCACACATAATAAAAGAAAATATGGACATAAGGATTGTAAAAAATCCAGATTGCAGATTGCAGCTCTCAACATTGATAGTGGACAATGAAGTGTTAGTCATATCTTCTACTCCATTGCAGCTTTATGTTGTCCACTTTTGTTTTCTCAATATTAAGCAATGCAGTGATAGATGTGGACCATTTGGCACAATTGTTTTTCACCTTTGAAGGAGCTTATTGAATATTAGTTGGGCTATGCTTAAATTCCTTATCACGCTTCTTGTGGCCAAATTAAGATCTAAACTACTTGAATCTCCCTGACTAAATTACTTCATGACTTGCACCTTTCAAGTAACTCATGGAATATTATTTTTGTTGTGTATAAATTTCTGATCTTGATTTTCATGGTCATTGAGTTGTTAAGATCTTCATTTTTGTTACATTAGTAGTGTATTTTTTGTCTGTACAAGTTGTCTGTACTATTGCATTTCCATCTTAGTGGCTTAATTTTCAGCCCCCAATCCAAGCAATCCTAGCTTTGCCTGTGACACTACTATCTTTTCTTAGTTACTCTCTCTCTCTCACTATACTATACAGATTCCCAATCCTCCACTACACTCTTCTAGATCTCTGTCTTCTCTCTTACTCTCTCTCACTGACTCCTCAATTCTCAAGTAATACCATTACACCATATTCTTTCTTGTTGTTTGAGCAATTGAGAAAGTCACCATCTCTCTCTCTCTCTCTCGCTCTCTCTGGTTCTAGTTTTTAATCTATACCCATAAAACTCAAAACCATGATTTACCCATTAGTTCGTAATGGAAACCCATTAACCCCAATAAACTTAGCAATCCAAAACTCCTCACAAAGATCATTTTTTTCTTTCTTTTCTCACAATCAAAACCCCAAAAACACCATCGACAAGCCCTTAAGACCCAAAACTTACCTCCTCAAACCCATCACAATAACTCCAAATCAAGTCCCTCCCAATAAAACCAAGAAAAATAGGGTTTATGAGGACAGAAGAGGTTTTTCTCAAGTGGGTAGTCAGCAGATGTTGGTTTTGTGTGGATTTGGGTACTGGGTACAAGGTTTTAGGGGCTTCCCTTGGCAGGCTCTCAACTTCCACATGGCCCACAATCTCAATTTATATCCATCAACATTGCAGCTTGTGCAGAACACTGCTAACCTCCCTATGGTGATAAAGCCTCTCTATGGAATCTTGTCTGATGCTCTTTATATTGGTGGTGATCACAGAATACCTTATATTTGTATTGGAGGTTAGTTGAATCCCCCAAATACACTTGTTAATCATTTTGGTTATACTAGCTGAAATTGATTTTTACCATAATGAGTTTGTTTTGTTCTTGTTATATTCTAACAATTGATAATGAGAGATTTGGGATATCAGTAAGCATATTTAACCTAAGGGACAAGCTTCAATGACAAAGTAACAAGCAACAGTAAGTCATAGGAAAAAGTTTGGGATATCAGTAAGTTTACACTATCAACTTTCAGATATTCTATTAAACTACAATATATCTAAGATTTACAAACATATAAAAAAGGAACTTTAGGATATGACCTTCACGGTCAAGAAGATGATGATTTAGGAAATCATTACATTGAGGATGATCTTTATACTTTAAGTAGAAAGCAACAGAATTCTTGTATTGCAATAAACACATATGCTGACATGATTGGTCTTATTTCTTACCATATACATTAATAATGAACTCATGCACATACAGTGAAACTTTCATGTATCACTAGTTTTCATTTACTATTAAGCATATTTAAATCTTAGTTTTCAGGAAACCATAAGCACAAAAAAACAAAGCCCCAAATTTGTGAAATGGTGAAAACACCTGCTTTGATTTCTTGCCATATACACAACCAACAAACTTACGCACACATGTCAAAACTAAATGCTAATTGCTACTTATTTTCTATTCAATATACTTAGTTTTAACTAAATAAAAGGCTAATGCAATATAAAATGTAGCTGAAATTGATTTTACTTGTTAATCATTTTGGTTATACTAGCTGAAATTGATTTTTACCATAATGAGTTTGTTTTGTTCTTGTTATATTCTAACAATTGATAATGAGAGATTTGGGATATCAGTAAGCATATTTAACCTACGGGACAAGCTTCAATGACAAAGTAACAAGCAACAGTAAGTCATAGGAAAAAGTTTGGGATATCAGTAAGTTTACACTATCAACTTTCAGATATTCTATTAAACTACAATATATCTAAGATTTACAAACATATAAAAAAGGAACTTTAGGATATGACCTTCACAGTCAAGAAGATGATGATTTAGGAAATCATTACATTGAGGATGATCTTTATACTTTAAGTAGAAAGCAACAGAATTCTTGTATTGCAATAAACACATATGCTGACATGATTGGTCTTATTTCTTACCATATACATTAATAATGAACTCATGCACATACAGTGAAACTTTCATGTATCACTAGTTTTCATTTACTATTAAGCATATTTAAATCTTAGTTTTCAGGAAACCATAAGCACAAAAAAACAAAGCCCCAAATTTGTGAAATGGTGAAAACACCTGCTTTGATTTCTTGCCATATACACAACCAACAAACTTACGCACACATGTCAAAACTAAATGCTAATTGCTGCTTATTTTCTATTCAATACACTTAGTTTTAAC